CCCAGACCCGGCAGAGGCGGCGGCGCCGCGTCCAGCCCCGCCAGGTGCGTTCCCGCTGCGGGGAGGATCACGCGTGTTGGCGAGCGTTGCTCCGTGAGACGCGCGTCTCGTTTTCCCGAAGGAGCGGTCCTGCTGCAGCAGCGCTCAGACGAGTGAAAATGGTCCCGGTGCCTGGAAATTCCCTCCCCCGGGCGCCCGCGGGGGCTCCGGGCGGGCAGAGCCACGGAATGAAAGTTGCGGAGCCTTTGCGACAGCTGGAGTTGGTCGAAACGCTGCAGCTTCGTTCCGGTTTCTGGCTCAGGCGTGGGCAGGGTGGGTGTGTGTCCTGGGGGGTCGGGGCTGTTTTTAAAAATAGCAAATGGAAATCGGAAGGGAATTGCTCGAAATATAACGTGAACTTAGCGCAGCAATTTAACGTACACGTTGCTACCCAGAGTGGGGTATGTTTTCAGATTTCTGTTATATGAAGACTAATCCCTATAGATTTTAACAAATAGCTCCGCTAATTTATATTCAAACACAGTGATTTTAAGCTCGATCACTAAGCGTCATATCCTGAGATGGTTAATGGCTGTTACATCTGAAGGGAAAACACCGAGTCTGTGCTGATAGAGAACATAAAAAACTGTGCAATAGAGGTAACTGCTGACATACGGAATGAGTTGCAGGCCTCTCTTTCCTCCTTTCCCAATTGTCTACTGTGCATTTAAGAAACAAGGCAGCTGAAAAAATTGTCTCCAATTTATTTATTTTTTTAATCCGTAAAGTATAAGCACTAACAGTTTGCAATATTTTTGTGTAATTAAATAATAGTGTCTCCATAGCATATTTATTTGTCTCCTACTGTAACTTCTTCTACATAAAGATTTTTCAGATGCAAAGGCAAATTTACAGTACACCAAAACAGGATTAAAAAAAATCTGAAATAAGGGCTTTGCTTAAGAAAGAAAAAAAAAAATGCTCCTGCGTTTCAGGATTCTTTGGACACTCAGAAGCTCCAACACTTTGTGACATGTTTGCTTAAAAAGTAGCAATGTTTGCGTTTTGATCCAGTGTTAGGATTCAAATACTGGCTTTACAGAGCAAGCTGTTAATCAAAGGTTTTTCTTTTTCTCTGAATGTCTCAACTTCGATTCACCAAATCTTACGCTCGTTAAAAATTTCCAAGTCGTCCTCTATTAATTAAGTTGTTAGTGTCGTTACTCCAAACAGAAAAAAGTAACGCTAGGAGGTTAAAAAGGGTTAAATGCATTCGTTGCACAACAGTCTCCACCCTAAACTGAGTTTACATGTGTAAAGCTCTGTCTGCAGCTACAACCTTTCCCCTTCATCAGGAAATTTCTCTCTGCTGCTTAATTCACCCACAGCCTCTCACATGGCTTCTGGTGGCTGATTGCCCACTGAAGGGTGCTGAGTTGGAGGAAGAAGATTAGGGAGCAAAAGCAGAGCAAACCAAGTGGAGCAATGTTTCTCTTACAGGGCATGTTTACATCCTAATTGCAGGATACTGCATCCCTTGCCCGGAGATGTGAGTCAGGTTGGCAGTGATGGACCAGCACCATGACTGTCTTTGCTGAGCTGAAGTTTTGTAGAAGCTGCGTTTAGGAAGGTATTTTTGCAGTAATAGTGTTAGCAGTCGCAGTTGAGTAATTTAATATCCTGACTTAAATTCTAGCATCCCATAAAAACCCAACACTCTCATCTCTGCTAGAATGCTTATTGGAGGTAAGGACTTGGTGAGTTAAATTGTATGGGTGCTTTTGGGTGGCTGGGAAAAGTCACATGAAGCGTAAAGATGCAAAGTGTTGGGTCCTGGGTTCTCGAGCGTGAAGGGACACCCATGCCTGAGAGTGAACAGTCCAAGCTCTGAGGCATGCAAATGGTAGGGGAACAGAGGTCCACTCTCCATCAATAACATTTTCATATATATTGGTTAGTTTTATGATTAAGTATGCCCTGACTGTCTCCATGCCCCGTTCTATCCATTGCTAGGGGTCTTTGGGACAGCTGTGTATTGGAGTTAGAAAACTGGTCTTGAATAGAGATTTCAAATCTAAGCTAATGGACTTGTGGATTAGTTTAGGGAGGATGCTCCTTGGAGGAAGCTGAAGCATTCAAGAAGAATCTCTGATGGCTGAAGGACAAGCAGCTGTATCTAGAAGAGCAAAGATACCTGAATGGGATGGTGCAGTCTGGGGACTAGGAAACAAGGCTGCAGCTGTTGAATTGATGTAGAACACTGTAATTGTGTTTTGAATTGGATAAAGATAAAAGGAGAGAGAGAGAGAAGCTGGAGAGAAGGAAGTCACATTAAATCGGATTGGATTCCTTTAATTCCTGGATGAAAGCTTTAGCTGCAGAAAGGGCAGAAGTCATACTTTTTTTTTTGTTTTGTTTTGTTTTGGATTGCACAAAGGGAAACTAAGATGGTTGTTTAGGGGAAAGCAAAAGCAAATCATGGCTTTTGCAGATCAGGAGTTTCAGAACAGGCTTGGAATGGAGTTGAGCCAGAGGAGCATAATACAGAAAAAGGAAGGAAAGTTGAAGGGGAAAATGATGGTTGGCAGGTTTCTAAAAATGTGTGGGTTTTTCACCATTTGTTGAGATTTTTCTCTAGAAATGTCCTTTGTTTTGTTTGTTTGTTGAGGTTTTTTGGGTCATTGCCGTAACTATGGAGTGACTTCTCTACGTGCACACGTTACTCTTAAATAGTAAAATAAATAGTCTCTGTACTAATCCTAGAAACCCAGAATGTAATTGCTTAATAAACAAAATGTTCTCACAGTTGTAGTTGTCCAAGACTGCTGGACTTTAGAGTACAGCACAAAGCAAATGTTGCAGGCTATTCTGTATTTGTGTCATTAATGCTGTAATGTCGAGTATATAGTGGACATTGGAGAATTCACATGACTTTGTTTCTGCTTTTAATTCCGCTGCAAACTAGAGTCACTGCCAGTATCTGTGATACTCCTGTATTTCAATTTCTCTGTTCTCCAAGGAGGTCCTATTAGCAGCTGCACAGCACTTAGTCTAAAGAGTAATCAAGATAAGATATATCTCAGAATATGCTAATATTAATATTATCAGCAATGCAATTCAGGATCTTAGCAATGGACACTTAATTTAATGTTGGATACATAATCCCATTAGAAGATGGAAGTCCTCTATGGCAGGGCCATTCAGTTAAGGCTAAGCTAACATTTTTGTGTTTAAAGAAAAGAAAGTTTCTACTGTGAAAATTTATAAGGAAACTTAGGTTCATACCTCGAGCTGTATTTTTGTGTTGTAAGAAGCATATGGGAAATTACAAGTTCGAGAAACTTTCCTGTAGTCAATACTGGGCAGGCATGTTCTTAATTAGGATGTGGCAATCTGTAAGCATTCCTCCTCACTACCTGTATTTGTTCTTCCACCTGTGAAGGAGAGAAAAACAAACTACGAAGTATACCTTTACAAACTTGAACCTGCTTGGAGGACTTTTTTCTTAATAGTTTTCAATAGATCAAATATTCAGTTTGTGGAGATGAGATGAATTTTCTAGCTGGAGATTAGTGTACCAGACCTCTTCATGCCTTCACCCAATAGATACCTTCCCTCAGCCCTGAGTATAACTTACTAGTGACCTTGGTCTCATCTGGAGACTGCCGCTCAATGCCAGCAGAAAAGGGCCCCAATTCTTGATGTCAGTACTTTGTGGTCATGCTAATAAGTCTGCACACACAATCCAAGGGACAGCACTGTCCATCTTGTGGCTTTCGTTGCATTATCCATTTTTTATATATTTAGGTGTTGATAAGGAAATTTGGGAGATGTTCACACTGAAAATCGTAGCACAAGATCCTGACTTAACAGCCTACTATTGACATAGGTTCACTCATCTCTACTGGCTCTACAAAACATTCATAGTATAGCAACTTCTATTTATTAGTGTGTTTTTCACTTGCTTGTTACCAGTTGTCATGAAGGTATGCAGGATTCCTTCTGAGTGAGTAAAAGGGTGGACCTGTTGGGAGCCTGGCATGAAGGGGCTCCAGGACTGAACTGCTTCTGGAGACAAAAGTATGTGTTTGCAGCCCAGAGTGACTCAGTAGTTTTCAGCTAAGTATTTATTTGTCTTTCACAGTCTGCATTTCTGAATTGTTTGTGACCAAATTACACAATTCCATACACCAATTTGAAAGCATGGCTTTCAGATTTCTTAAATAACTTATCACTAATCATCAGTTGCAGGGAAGCTCTGCTCCGTCATACTAAGCTAGCATAGCTCTGCTTCCACTTGGAGTTGAAACCTTCATTACTTATTCAGGTTTTTCCTTGTCTTTGCTATTGGACTCTGACTTCCTGGCCTCTCGCTCTAATCTTCAAACAGGATATATCCCTGTCCTTTGCAGGTGCTTCTGGAGCTACTGACTTTGTTTAGAACATTCTTGCTTTCTGTTCTGAAGCTGTCAATTTCTGTTGGTATTATTAAGTTCCCATGTTGTGTAGCTCAAACAATGAGTCATTTTTTTAGTTAAAAAATGAATTCTGACTGTTGAGGGGTTTATAAACAGCTCTAGAGTTTGGGACTGATCGATGATACTGTTGGAAGGAGAAGTGTCATGAGAAGTACCCAATTAAAAAAAATATTTTCTGTCCACTTAATTAAATAACTGCTGGCTCTTGGAGAAATTTAGACACAATTTTCAATCATCCTATCACAAAACCCAAGAGGAAGAAGGCTGAGTTGGGACTGAGCCTGGAGTGAGAAAGAACATGCGTTTGGCTTACTGCCAGATTTGGTTTTCTTGCTGCCTTGTTACCTCTTCTCTCTCTTTTCTTAGGCATTAGGCAAAATGCATGTGATACTTTACTGTATGCTCAACGTATACAGTTCTGCAGTATTCATGTATGGAGAAGGTGCTTCACAACCTAGCAATATTTTATGAATATGTGAATGACAGTTAAAATAACAATACTCTTGATGCAGGTCCTGCCTTCCTGAAGAAGAAAAAAAGTGCTGAAAGACAGACTGTGTTATAGATTGCAGCATGTTACAAGGGCATCGAGAGTGCCCTTTGATTTCTGATGTAGGAACGACTTTCAAATGCCTCTTTTTAAAAAATACTCGTATATCCCTAGTGTGTTTTGGTGTTTTATAGGCAAAGAATATTTCAAGCTTCTAATTTTTCCTTCTTTGCAAGCTTATTTCAGGGAAGGTCTTTACCTACTTGATAACTTCTTATGACAGTAAATGAAAATGGCACAAAAATACTCTGGCAAAAAACATCTGGTAGCTGCTGCTTCAGAGTTTGTTACAGAAATAATGCATCAGGATCCAGATCTTGAGAGGTGATTAGAAGACATGGGTGTCTTCAAAAATCTTAGTCTGGGTAAAAGGGATGGGAAGTCTTTGTTTTGTGGTATCTTCTTTTGCTTATGCCGTAGCACAGCTGAAAAG